AAGGGAATATTAATCAATTATTATTGAAGGCAGAGTCAAGGTGGATCTATCATTTTAAAACCATGTCTCCCAATGGTTTAAACGAAGAGTTTAATTTTACTCCATATAGGCCTTCTCAGATGCCAGCCCTCATCTCTCTGGATATCTCACCCAATGTACTTAACTCAAACAAAACTCCTTCTTTCCAAGAGGTGCTCCATGAGGCCAAATCCCTACAGCAACCTGAGGTTGCACCAATACAAATAAGCATATACTTTCCTTTTCCACTTCTCCATCTTCCCTGTGTGGAAACACTAACTAATATTCCGTCACCTATGACAAAGCATTACATCAAACTGATGAGTTCTTGCAACAGAGCTTGCTTCCTCCTCCTTTTCCTCCACTCAACCATTATTTTTCAGCCATGAGGACTCGGAAATGTCAATCAGGAGGTTCCACAGATAAGGGACCAGTCAACCTTCTAGCTTGGGTCCGATGTTTCTGAACAATATCTTCCTGGACTGCAAGAAGATGGAGAGTTCAGGGCAGTTATCAACCCTAAATGCCTATGTTTGAGTTAAAATCACTTTATCTATTTATGGACATCCTCAGAGTCCAGGATTGATGAATGATGTATATTTCACAATGTTTACTTTGTTGTTCTAAAACTATCAATTCACCTGCCTGCCTTTTGTCCTCTATTCCACTCCACTGTGTGATGCAAAACATATGAAGCTGGTTATGCCAATATTCAGCCTTGGGACACAGGCTAATAATTCACCGTAACCTTTCTTGTTTGCCAGTTCATTAATATTATGTTGTTGGTCTGGTCCTCCTGTTCTACCTTCCCTTTAACCAGAGGCCTGCCCTGCCTTCCCTGTATCCAGAGGCCTGCTCTGCCTGTCCTGTATCCAGAGGCTTGCCCTGTCTGTCCTGTTTCCAGAGGCCCTTCTGTTACACTCAGTTTTCTGTGTTTGTATTTTATTTAACTGCCTTCCTTAAATGTCAATACCCTTATTTTTTGCCTTGATTTGTGTGTATATTAGTTTCTGTGCATTCTGGGTTCCACCCTATAGAGGTTGCTACACTGGTCAGCATCCCTTTCCCAACCAGACCCCTGACAGAATGAACTGGCCATAAAATATGGAACCTGCAAAGAAATCTCCTATGCACTCCCGGTCCACTCAAACCTATACCAGCCAATACGCTTACCACTCCAACTGAACCACCACAAACTGTTCCCCGATGATCAAATATGGCAAACGCCACTCTCACGGACTCACGTGGAGTAAACTCAACCCAGGGAGATTGCTGCGGCTCAACAGGTAACTTACAGTTGAGGCTCAATGAGCTCTTATGGCGATTCTGGAGGACACTGGAGCAGCACAGCAACTCTGTCTAAACCTGATATGGATGACCGCAGACATGTGAGGCTGGAGGGGCCTCCTCACAGTGAACCACCTAAAAGAATGTCTACTGCTCGCCCACCTGGGCCGTCCGAGGGTTAACCGCCTCACATCGTCCATGGAGCCAGAAGATTACCACCGCAATCCTCCATCTCCCTACAGAAGGGGTTAGACTCGAACTGTAACAGTTACTGGATCTGTGGTTTAATGATAATGACCCTCATGCAGGCTCTGGGCTGGAGAGGCAACCACCAGCTCCAGTACACAACCTTGCCTGGCTGTGAAGAGGCATTGCCACTCTAGTGAGTCGGCTGATCTAACTTGGGGGACTGTTGCCTGAGCTGTTGCTCTACCCGACGGTGGCAGACAACATACACTATGTTACATGCCATTAATAATATTGTTTTATGTTTCTACTATGTTGGTTACTGTGGCAGTGATCTAGTGTTTAGCTTTTTCCGCTCTGCCCATGACCACCTACTGTCCGTTGTTCGCAGCCGTACGGCCAACTCACGCTTGCAGGACTTCTCGCAGGTGGCTCCCTTCCTATGGAATAGCCTGCCTACCGCCATCACACTCTCCCCTAGTCTTGCATCTTTTAAGAAGTGCCTTAAAACCCATCTCTTCAGGAAAGCTTATGGACTCCCAGACTAACCTCTACCTCACATACCTGTCTCTTGCTCTCTCCTAAAAGGCAGCCCACCTTATTTGATTGCAGTTTCCTGTCCTATTGTGTTTTACACCCCACCTCCTATAGAATGTAAGCTTGTTTGACCAGGGTCCTCTCCAACCTATCGTTCCTGTAAGATTTTTGTAATTGTCCTATTTATAGTTAAATCCCCCCTCTCATAATATTGTAAAGCACTACGGAATCTGTTGGCGCTATATAAATGGCAGTAATAATAATAATAATAAATAATGAAGGGAAAATTTAGACCACAAAATGATATTTCATTAGTATATTACATACATTGTAAACTATTTTTCACATAAAGTGAGATATCAATGGAATACATTAAAATAAGATTTTAAAAAACATGGATGAATACGTAATAAAAAAATATGTATAAAATAACCCTAAAAGTGAGGTATTGGGTCCCCTTACTCCAACTCCTCCCCTGTTTTTTTTTTGTTTTGTTTTACCTTTATCTTTGTAACTATAATCAGGGTTGTGGTTTGTAGTGGGGAAGGGGGTAGGTAATCATTGTTTTGAACTCATACCCTCCTGTTTTCCACTTTAGATCCCATATTCACCCTTTTTTCAGTAGAGTTTGGTCTAACTATTAAGGTGGGGGCGGCGAATTATCACTCTATACACCTACTCTCCTGTTCCTTATAATCAGACTCTAAAAATATACTAGTTTACTTCAATTATCTCTATCATTGTATCTACCCATACCATTTATTCACCTTTTTGAATATCTCTAATATTTCTAATATCTCTCATTTTCAATTTATATAAATCATTTTGAATCTAAATGCTAAGCTTTATTCTACCGATCCCCATAGACTGCTGCTATTTAATTTACTACATTTTAGCCTTCCACTTGGAATAACATGCACACGTGTTCGTGCGTTCGCACCTGCATGCACGCACTTCCTGCTAACCACTGAGCACGCGAGAGATAAATAGTGCGCAAGAGCATTCATCTCTCTGGATGGGATGAGGATTCTGCGTGTGACATAGAACCCGCTACTAAACAGCTGTCTTTCTTGGTACAATCTTTCTACTTGGGTTGATCAAGAATTAGTATATTTTCTCACGCTTGCTATGTATAAGCCAGATAGGCAGACCCCCTAGGTTTCTCATTTTTAATATTACACTTTCACAAGTCACTTTTGTGCTTTTCACTTGTTTTTTCATAGTTTTATGTAGATATGGCTTTAAATACTAATAAAGTCTATATTTTAATGTTTGGTTTCTTGGCAATTATATTGGGTTATACATGTTATGAATCGTTACCCATAGTCTTTTGACTTGGACCCTTTTTCAAAAAAAGATTTGTTATTCTTTTTTTCAGCTACTGCTAGTTAAATATATATTTAAATAGCCCAACAGGACAAGTTCATCTTTTTCACTATTTGCATAAATAAAGTATATATCTGAAAATTCTTATGTTATTTTAAATAGTTATGCATCATTTTCACTTAACTGCCTACTTACTATTATAATGATCAGCATTTAAATTTACAATTATAGAATAGGGACTCTGCTTCTTCTTTCTCCTATTTTACAAGTACTCTGCTCCTTCTTTCTTTACAAGTACTCTGCTCCTTCTTTCTCCTACAGGTGGGTAGGCGGGTTGAGACGATTCTATTTAGAGTCTTGTCTGCTTCTGAGCAGCTCAGTTCATTGAAACAATCAAGGATATTATCTAAACTCTGAATTTTAGCAAGCCAAATTATATCCAAATAGCAAGATAGATTCTAAAATAGCTGATCTCCAACTATAGTTATAATCACATCTTGGCTAGCCTAGCAACTATTTTTCAATTCAGATATTTTACAAAAATGTTGTGGTTTGTGAATAACACAAATGATTACTATAAGAATTACCCAACAGCTCTTTACATGCTCTGACTCCTCTTGTGTGACACCACACCAGTGTCTTGCTATATTTTGTCTGCACTTTCTTCACTCCTTTGCCTTTATGTGTGACATTGTGCTTAGCTATCCCATTTTTACTATAACTACAATTTCTATGTTTACAAGCATTCAATGAAGAGATACCATCAACAAAACATCTTCTTTTAGATATCACAGTGCAGACATCTGGGCAGTGGTGTTCAGTTTTAGATCATGGCAAGCTGGACATGATCCAATCTGTAAGGATTTATTTTATCTTGATATCTTGTAGTGTATTTGCAAGTTTATTTTCAAACATGTCAAAACATTTACACTTTCAATACTAAGAAATATACCTGAACTGAGGTTTCCTATTTAGATTATTGCAGTGTGGTTAGATAGAAAACCATAATTCCATCACTTTGTGAAGCTGAATGAGTTAAAGCGACTGTCTCTCCCTTAACAAACTGAGCATTTCATATAGATTCATTAAAATACAAATGCAGTCAAAAGATACCATAAGATAAAGTACGGATTATTTTGTTATGTACATTTTTCCTACTCTCAAAACCTGACAAATGGCTGAGCTCCTGTTATCACTAGTGATGGCTGTGAGTAATAAATGGCATTGGCTATGGAGGCTGCCATGAGTAAGAGTACAGCACTGAGGTGGGCTCCTGTCAGACGTAGCATCAAGAGCTGAAGAGGATTCCCTGGATGGACATAGCAGCAGCCATGTAGGACAGCATCAGGTAAGGTCAACTTAGCTTTACCTGCACCCCAAGGCCACTGCATACCACTATGCAAAGACCCCAAAAGGTGGCAAAGCTGCTTTAATTAACTACCAAGCATTATTTAATATATATATATATATATATATATATATATAATTTGTATCTTTTTGAGTTACTCTCAGCGTTATACAGCTTTTCCATTATATTGGATATAAAAACAGTTATGAGCATAATAAAACACATAGGGGTGTATATTTTGAGGATAAGCATGTGATTGCATTATCGATACGTCTCACAGTTGCTCGCACACTGAGGGCTAAGTGTCCGCATATGTGTGTGTAGATGAGCATTTGCCGACTTCAGGCGCTTCAGAGCCGTCCAAGATCTGTGTGGCTGAGGGACGATATTCCAATTGGCAGTTTCTTGGTGGTGTTTCGTGGTATGCTTCTAATGTTGCACTTGGTGATGGCTCCGGGCTCGTCTTTTCTTTGTGAAGTTGGTGAGTCTTGACAGGCCTAGTTTAGCAGGAGCAGTTCAGGATCATCTCGGGATGTTAGTGTGATACTCTCTCCCCCCTTGTCAGCTAGTAGGTATCCCTCTAAACCCCATCGGTACCTGATGGATGAGTCTCGCCGTCTTCTGGCTACAGGTGCCAGCCTTTTCCTCTCTGTTGAGACAGAGAATGGGATTTCGGCACATATAGCCACTCTGTGGCCCTCACAAGGCACCGCACCCATCTCCCTGGAACGTTGCATTATCTCCGACCTCGCAGATACATCTCTGGTCACTGCTATGACATCTCTGGGTACTCCACTTGGTGCTGCGGCTGATTTTCGTACTCTGAACACCAAGGAGATCAGTGGAGAGTCTGAGTTGCTTTCGATGCCCATGGATGTCAGTATATTGCGGACCCACAGTAGGAGCCTCATTTTCTCGACCATCTCAGGACTACCAATCATTTTTTGATTGAAAGAAAAATTAGTAATATATTGCTTATTTACTTGAAGCATGGAATGAAGAGCTAACATATAAACATATACTGGCACATAATTTTGTGTACAGATTGATTTGCAGATTTGCAATTTACAAAATGTTTACTTTTCCCTTATTCATTCATCCTTTGTTTAAAAAAAAAAAAAAAAAAGACAGTTGTACCTATTGGATATTGGGCTTTAAGCACCCAGCCAGAATACTTTTTGAGCCTGGAGTTCAAGAAATTCAAATGACTTTAGATATATATAAATAAATAAAAATAAATAAATAAATAAACTTTAGTCAGTATACAGTGTCCTTTTTACTGCAATATTACTAATGGCCTAAAATGTTAGTATTATAGCAAAAGTGCTATATTTTCCACACAAGAAATAGATAAATAAAATAGTTAAATACTTTTTTATATGTATTTGTAAGGACCCTGCAAGTATTAGTAGTACAGCTTAGCAAACAAGGCAACAGAATGTAACAAATAATGTCTGCATTTGAGCATAATGCCCACATACAATAAATACAGTTAAGCTGTATATTTTTATAATAAAAATGAGAAGAAGGCCTGAAACAGTTTGTGGCCTGAATGTCTGCATCCTTCATTGCCAGACAAAGTTACCCTGAGGCCAGAATTTGACCAGTTGATGTTGGCTTTCATGACCCGTGGAGGACGAGCCCACGTAAAGCAGTTGAAAGAGGTTTCAAAGGTGTGCAGGACACGCTCCTGGATGCTGTTGGGTCCCTCAGACACATAATGTGTCTGGCGTATGATACCTATTCTTGAGCTGAGTCATTTGATGTGGGCATGGTGCATAAAGGGGTGCATGGCATTAGAGTATGGGCAGAAAGGTGCTTCTGTTACCTGGAAAGACAAATGTAGCACTCTCTTCTGAGAGAAACAAAGCAGCACTCTTCAGCATTGACTGAAAACTGGCAGACTTAGGGGCTAAGGAACTCAGCCTTCGGACACAGGACAAGTTCTTCATGAAAGAACTGAATAAACATGTGAACATTTTCACATCCCTATACAAAGTTTAACCCTTTAAGGACACAGCTTCAGAAGCTTGACTTGCGCTTAATGACACAAGCAATTTTTGCATTTTCTTGCTGTTTGCGTTCAACTGCAATTTGCATCTCTCTCATTTATTGCACCGACATATTATATACTGTTTTTTAAAGGACAGAAAGGGCTTTAATTTGATATAACATATATATATATATAAATGCTTACTTATTATAAAAAAAATACAGAAAAATGCAAACAAAATTAAAAACATTTTTTTTTTACAGTTTTTGCAATAATAATGTGTGCATAATTAGTGCAGGTTAAGGAAAGTAATTAAAAATAAATTTATTTGTTCTGATTTACAGAATATATAATGTGTCTGGGATTTTAAGTTTTTTTTGGTAGTTACAGGTCACAAAGCACAAGGAGTAAAATAAACTTTTAATGTGGAGCGATTTTAGAATTTGGTATGTTTGTCTTGTAAGCTTAATAGCCATAAAAGAAAACAAAATTGCCACACAAAAGTATATATTTATATAAAGTAGACATCACGGCTATTTACCTAAGGTTGTTTTGACACTTTCTACGTAGCCATTTCACCGCCAACCTCTGCTAAATATTGGAGTAAAATTGTGTTCTTTTTGGTTTTTTGCACACAAACTTATAACAGAGAAATTCTCGTGTATATTTTGTAAAGTTAGTGTGTGCTATTCCTGTACAAAGTTTTATTTTGTGTTCAGTTACATCTGCTGAGTAAAATGACACCCCCATTGTATGTCTTTTGCACTATTTCGTGAAGTTACAGTGCCATACAGGATACCTGTCCCTTTCAGTATTCACAGTAGAATTTTGAGAGATGGATTTAATGAGCCTTAGCTTCCATTTTGGGGTATTATAACAGTTTGACTGTTCAAAAAAACCCCACAAAGGCCTACCATTTGTAAAAGTAGACACTCCAGGGTATCTTATAAGGTGCATATTGTGCCTTAACATGCCCCCATTTTTTCACCAATATATGCTAAAGTATGTGGTAAAAAAAAATTTTGTGCATTTTTTACATACGGATTGCATTTTTGCTGGGCGTTTTGTATATTTCATATGTGCCACTAAGTTCAAACCCCCAAATTATGCTCAGCTAAGTCTTCTGAGTAAAATGACACCCCATATGAATGTCTTTGGCACTATTTCGTGAAGCTACAGTGCCATATAGGAGACCAAGCCATATCCGTTTTTACCAAACTTTGAATTTTGACGCTGGGCCTATGTGTAATTTCCAAGCATCTTCGCAGGTTTTAAATTCAAACTACCCCACAAAGGCCTACCATTTCTTAAAGTAGACACCCCAGGGTGTTTCAAAAGGTATAGTTTGAACCTTAGCGTGGGATCATTTTTCCGCTAGCTTGTACCAAGTGTAGTGGTAATAAGTATTTTTTCTGCCTTTTTGACATACAAAGTGAGTTTGCGCAGCATATTTTGCAAACCTTATGTGTACTATGACTGTATAATACGTCATATGTTGCTCAGCTATGTCGGCTGAGTACAGCAATACCCCCGTATGTACCTTTGCCAGGTATATGTGGATGTTGAAGGGGCGCATTTGAGACGCAGCCATTCAGTTTTTTTCTAACTTTAAAGTTTTACGCTGTGTCCATGTTCCAATTTGGAGTAGTTTAGACGGTTGGTTATTGAAACTTCCCCACAAACATATACTATTTATTAAAGAATACACCCTGGGGTAATTCAAAAGGCATATTTTGAACCTTGGCGTGGGATAATTTTTTCTCTAGTTTGCTCCAGGTGTGGTGGTAATGAGCGTTTTTAAAATGTATTTTTTTACTTTTTATAACTTTTTTACTTTTAAAAACTAGTTTTTAAACTTTTGTTTTGCTTATAAATTTTTTTTAAACTTTCCTAAACTTTCTTAAAACTTTTTTACAGATTTAAAATTTTTCTAAGCTTTTTTTTTACCGTTAACCCCTAACTAGCAGTACGCAGCACTAACAGTAAATTCCCCATTTTCCCATAACTCCCACCCACCCCAGCTAGCAAATATATAGTTATAAAATATTTAAATTAATTAATTAAATAAATTGAACCCCTGAGGGTTAAAAAAAATAAATAAAAGTTAATCCTCAGGGGTTAAAAAAAATTAGATCACAGTATAATACTGTGATCTCTATTTGATCGCTGTAGGCAGTGATCGACTGGCAGGGAAGGGGTTAATTTTTATTTGGACTAGGTAAAGTGTGTTTTTTTGTTTTTTTTACTTAAATGTTATTAAAACATTTTTTTAAGCTTAATTTTTAACTTTTTAAAGTTTCTTTTAAAACTTTTTTTAACGTTAACCCCTAGTTAGCCTAACGCCAAATCCCCCAATTCCCCACTAACTTCCACCCACCCCAGCTATCTAAATATATAATTAAAAATAATTTAATTAATTAATTTAATTAATTTAACCCCTGAGGGTTAAAAAAAAAAGAATTAACCCTCAGGGGTTAAAAAAAAAATCAGATCATAGTAAAATGTAATCCCTGCCAATTGATCACTGTAGTCAGTGATCAATTGGCAGGGAAGGGGTTAATTTTTTATTAAAATGGGTAAGGGGGGGGACTTTAAATAAACTTTATTTTTTTTTTACAGCAGGGGGCAGGATCAGCACTGATCCGGCTCCCTGCACTTCACACAGAACCCGGAAGTGCAGGGAGCCGGTAGGTGAGTATAGAGAGCACATGTGCTCGCTCAGACTTGCAGAGCGAGCACATGTGCTGGGCAGACTGACCGGGTGCTCCCGGTATGCCTCTAATGCAGAGGCATACCGGGAGCACCATTAACCCCGCGATCGCCGCGATAGCGGCGATCCGGGGTTAATTTTACCGCGTGACGGACGAGGTCCGTCACCCGTCGTTAAGGGTCTCCCCTGTGTGCTGGACCTCGTCCGTCACCCGTCCTGAAGGGGTTAATCTTCCATGGCAAAAGTTTTTTCACGGTATTCGTGATCGAGTTTATCCCTGTCCAGTGGCAGCCACGATCTATCCATTTTGCATCAGCCAACACTCAATGCCTCCATCAGAAGCCTCAGGAATTGTGGCTAAAGAGTGCCATCCAACCTGCCTCGGGGGACAGAGGCTTCTTCAGCAATATGTTCTTGCTCCGGAAACAGGTTATTTTTGACAGTGATTAACCTGCGGGACCTCAATGCTCACATTGTTTCAAGATGCAGGATATACAACTCTTTCAGTGACTGGTTTACATGCCTGGACTTAAAGGATGCCTACCCCTCCATCACTGGTTATGTCAAAAGCCATCCATTCCTTTGGTTCTTATGGCAGGGAAGGCCATAAGAACCAAATCTTGCCTCCCATCAGACTCAGGCCCTTGGAGTTTAAAGATCCTGAAGCCTGTGGTCGCCCCGTTTGGAATTGTCTTGTGAGGACCTGTTCCTCCTACCATCGTACCAGATGCTCCTCATGGACCATAAGGGAAACCCTCACCTGTTGCTCCCAGAAGATCAGCTGGTGATGCCCTGGGCTGTTTCCTGGGTTCCTGGCAGGTCAGTGCATTATGCTGCGAAGGACCTCCTCTGGGACTCCTGGGCCCCTGGTATGAGATGGTGTTACCTCTCTGCTTGGACTTCATGGACAGATTGGAGTGTGGAATGTCGTCTCTATCCATTTTCAGCCCATGTTTCACCAGTTCTGAACTTTCTCTCCTGTCAATGTACTTTTTATTCAGGGTTCGGCATCTTATTCCGCTTTTTCAGCATGAGCTTCGCTTGTGAATATTTTACGTGTGGCAGATTGGTCTTGGGAGGATACTTTTTTGGACTTCCTATTTCCGTCCCTCTTCTATGCCGCATTTTTTTCTTCTCTCGCAATGTTAAAAATGCAACAACAAAAAAAGCCTCCTGTCATGTAAAATTGAAGATTATGCTAGCTTTAG